ACACAAAATGCTGCCCCTGCCCCTGCCACGCACAAAATACAGCACCTGCCACGACTTCGGCAACGGCATCTTCAAAGTGCTACGCCTGCCACGATTTCGCGCGCCCCGAGCCGCGCGCGCGACAACGTCCCATCCCTTTAGACAGCTGCCAAATGCTGCCCCTGCCACGCAAACACACGCTCAGATGCACAGAATGCTGCGCCTGCCACGACTTCGGCAATGGCATCTCCAAAGTGCTGCGCCTGCCACGATTTCGCGCGCCTCGGGGCGCGCGCGCGACAACATCCCAGCCCTTTAGACAGCTGCCAAATGCTGCCCCTGCCACGCAAACACACACTCAGATGCACAGAATACTGCGTCTGCCACGACTTCGGCAATGGCATCTCCAAAGTGCTGCGGCTGCCACGATTTCGCGAGCCCCGAGCCGCGCGCGCGTCAACATGCCAGCCCTTTAGACAGCTGCCAAATGCTGCCCCTGCCACGCAAACAAACACTCAGATGCACAGAATGCTGCGCATGCCACGACTTCGGCAATGGCATCTCCAAAGTGCTGCGCCTGCCACGTTTTCGCGATGCACAGACTGCTGCGCCTGCCACGACTTCGGCAATGGCAGCTCCAAAGTGCTGCGCCTGCCACGATTTCGCGAGCCCCGAGCCGCGCTCGGCAATGGCATCTCCAAAGTGCTGCGCCTGCTACGATTTCGCGAGCCCCGAGCCGCGCGCGCGACAACATCCCAGCCCTTTAGACAGCTGCCAAATGCTGCCCCTGCCACGCAAACACACACTCAGATGCACAGAATGCTGCGCCTGCCACGACTTCGGCAATGGCATCTCAAAGTGCTGCGCCTGCCACGATTTCGCGAGCCCCGAGCCGCGCGCGCGACAACATCCCAGCCCTTTAGACAGCTGCCAAATGCTGCTCCTGCCACGCAAACACACACTCAGATGCACAGAAATACTGCGCCTGCCACGACTTCGGCAATGGCATCTCCAAAGTGCTGCGCCTGCCACGATTTCGCGAGCCCCGAGCCGCGCGCGCGACAACATCCCAGCCCTTTAGACAGCTGCCAAATGCTGCCCCTGCCACGCAAACACACACTCAGATGCACAGAATGCTGCGCCTGCCACGACTTCGGCAATGGCATCTCCAAAGTGCTGCGCCTGCCACGATTTCGCGAGCCCCGAGCCGCGCGCGCGACAACATCCCAGCCCTTTAGACAGCTGCCAAATGCTGCCCCTGCCACGCAAACACACACTCAGATGCACAGAATGCTGCGCCTGCCACGACTTCGGCAATGGCATCTCCCCGCGCGCCCCGAGCCGCACGCGCGACAACATCCCATCCCTTTAGACAGCTGCCAAATGCTGCCCCTGCCACGCAAACACACGCTCATGCATCTCCAAAGTGCTGCGCCTGCCACGATTTCGCGAGCCCCGAAGCCGCGCCGCGCGACAACACCCCAGCCCTTTAAACAGCTCCCAAATGCTGCCCCTGTGTGAGTGAGTGAGTGAGTGAGTGAGTGAGTGAGTGAGTGAGTGAGTGAGTGAGTGTGAGTGAGTGTGAGTGAGTGAGTGAGTGAGTGAGTGAGTGAGTGTGTGTGAGTGAGTGTGTGTGAGTGAGTGTGTGTGAGTGAGTGTGTGTGTGTGTGTGTGAGTGAGTGTGTGTGTGAGTGAGTGAGTGTGTGTGACTGAGTGTGTGTGAGTCAGTGTGTGTGAGTGAGTGTGTGTGAGTGAGTGACTTTGTGCGGGTGAGTGAGTGAGTGTGAGTGAGTGTGAGTGAGTGAGTGTGTGTGAGTGAGTGTGTGTGAGTGAGTGTGTGTGAGTGAGTGTGAGACGTGAGTTTGAGTGAGTGGGCGGCGGGGGCGGCGGGGCGGGCGGCGGACGGCGGGGCCAGACGGCGGACGGCGGGCGGCGGGCGCGGAGCGGTAAAAGTAAGAACCCCACACAAAGATGTGGGGAACAACAAACATGCCACGAAATCCAGCACTCGCAAACCCAAACGTGCCACACATGCCATGAAACCTTTTGAAAGGCTTCTTAATCGCTGCCCCTGACGCGAAATCCAGCACTCACATGTCCCAAGTGCTGCGCTTGCTACGAAATGAGCACTCACATGTGCAAAGTGCCGCGCCTGCCACAAAACCAGGGGGCCCACACGAGCGCGCGCAACAGCATCCAGTCCTTGTAGAGACCTCTCAGGCGCTGCCCCTGCTACGAACATGCAGCACTCAATTGCCGCGGCTTCCCCGAAACTGGGCAACAGCGCGCGCAAGGGCACACATGGTAGCTTGTCTGCAGGCCATGCAGCGGAACACGAAAAGACCGTGCTTCAAAAAGATAAAATGTCAGAACAGATGCGGTGCTTGCCGGAGCATTGCCGGTTGCCACAGCGGTGGACATTGTGCTCAGCAGTATCTTTTGGCTCACTTACAGCACCAGCGCTTCTCAAGCTCCTCACGACATTTGCGCCCCGACCAACTCATCACTTCAGGAAAAGACTCTTGGCGAAGCTTCCTAAGCAAAGCTTGGTCGTGGCGGGCCCGAGCCTTTGGCTTTGTCTTTCTGTACGACAAGCCTATGGCGTGACATCCCGATTCGTGCCGGAAGCTGAAGCCAGCGCTGGGCGGCCTGAGCTGCACCTTTCGCTTTCGGGAAAAGCATGCTCCAGCCGGCGGCGCTTCCTAAACAGCCTGGAGCAAAAACCTGGCAGCGTTCTGCAAGACACTTTGCGTGCCCTTAGCAATGCAATCATCATGTCGCGGCCTTGTTTTCGAAAGAAACTTCTATGGTGTGGGTCTGGAAGAAGGTCCATGCCGCAGCGACCATGCGACATCCTGTCGCAGCAGCTGGACACGCTGACGAACTGCGCGTGGAACGCTGCATGATGTAGGCTATGCTTGCAGCTAGCATCGCCTATTTAGTGGCTGAGCGGCGGTCTAAAAAGCAAACGCTCAAGCTGTTGACCAACTAAAGATGTGGAAAGGAAGACCAGCTTATTATTACCCTAACCAAAAACACCAAGCAGCCTTTCCAATGTCCAACTGTGCCACCGCCAGTGGTTGCTTGGACATGACAACTGTGCGAGCATCTCCTGGGCTGCAGGGGGTTAATTTGTCAATCTTTCTCAAACTTTCCCGAAGCGAAGCTAAGTCAAGCTGGGGCTGCCAGAGCTACAAGCCCAATTGCCACCTCTGGCCTTAACCTTGCTGATCAGCCCAGCCTGTCCGTCTCTGCAACCTGAGCTTGCCAATTGAACCCAAACAAATTAATTAAATGAAATTAGTGTAGACAACTGGTTGGCAACTCATGTTGAAAGGAAAACTCACTACAATTGCTGTGGAAGCCTAGCAGCTTTGCAAAGCTTGAAGCTGAAGCGCAACTTGCTTGGAGTGCTGCAAGCTGCTCCAAGCTCGCTTCTTCATGCTGGCCAATTACCTCATGCGCACCTGCCTCAAACTTCTCCCTCAAGCTGGCTACTGACTTCGGGCAAGCTGGCCAATTGCCTCACGCAAGCCTGTCTCAAACTCCTAATTACCAACCCCCTCCCAAGCTGGCCAATGACCTCACGCAAACCTGCCCCCATCCCCTGCAGTTTTGACCCTCTTATTTTGCCCTCAGCAGCTGGCTTGCTTGACTTCAGCCACCTCCTTGTGATCTTTCTTTTCATCCACTTCTCCTTCAGGCTCTTCTTTTCCTTCAGGTTCTTCTTGGGCACGTCTTCCACCTGTTCTTCCACCGTGTCTTTGACTGGTTCTTCTACTTTCTCTTGTATTTTCTCTCCTCTCTCTCCCTTTGAACCTTCCAGGGCCAACTTCTCTTTTTTTGTCTGGAAACATTTCACGGAGATCTGCGCAGGGAGCTTTGCAACACCTACCTGCAAACCTTGGCCGCTCTTGCTGCCTGCCTTTTGCATTGCTACCTTACTTTTTGCTACTGTGGCTGCTGATGTCTCCAAACCTCCTGCCCCCTCCCAGCCAGCCAGGGAGGAGGCGAGAGAGGAAGAGATGAGAGAAGAAAAGGAAAGGATCTACCCATACTAAATCAAATGGAAGCTCAGAACGAAATCTCAAAAGCAAGCTCCAGCAATGTTAAATGGAAACCAATACTAAATCAAATGGAAACTCACTTGAACTGGATCTCAAGACAGTGTTCCAGGTGCCCCCATCATTGGGCAGGAGCCCCCGTTTACCAATTCCAGGTGGACATTGTCCACGCGGGAGACTGACTACGCGGCCTTGCCAAAATCATCAGACATGGGTTGATCGCCGCTCAGGCGCGCGGTGTTTAGCCGGTCAACAATAGAACGAACACGACGAATAAAAAAACTTTAATCCGTTAGGGCACAATGTGACGTCCGTGAGCATTTGGCTCCAGAAGCTGGTGGCCGGGCACTCAAAGCAATCAAGGCTCCAAACAAACACGGACACTACACAAACTAACGCGCTTAAACTTCCTGTGGCTATGACGCAACGCTAACACGCGCGGTCCACTTCGACCAAGGGCAGACATTCTGACCCATCGGGCAAGCTCTGTAGCAGTGGATGGAATGAGAACCCCTTGTGGTGGGAGCGGTGAAACCGCACCCAGCACGGGTTTGCATGTACCATACTTTGGAGGCCCGTTTCCCTTTGAGTGTATCTGTGTGGCTGCTTTGTAAAAGGCCCCTTTTATACTCAGAGGGGGGTGAAGAATTCCATCGGGCATACTCCACGTTTGCACCAATCGCATCGGCAGTATGGCGGCTCAAAAGGTCTGACTAGCTGAGTCGCGTACTTGGACGACTAACTTTGGTTTAGCGGGCCCCAAACCGGTAACCCTTGAATCTAAACCTGCACAAAGGAAACAGTTTGGAGGCACTTTGGCAAACTTGTTTCAGGGGAGAGGAGGAAAAGACACTCAGGACACAACAGATGGGCGCAACACCTATTCCCACATTTTCTGAATGAACACATCAGCCTCGCAACCATGTCCTGCCCAAGCAATTGGCATGCCTGCGCGAGGCATACAAAAAATGCTGCGCAGCTTGCCTGCAACAAGGCATTCTGACCTAAAAACCTGCGCAGCCTGCCAGCAAAAGGCAACAGCATCTTGAGCCAAAGTATGGTTAAACCATCTGAAGGATCTTATGTTGAAGCTCCAAAACTAAGCTTCGAATTTCCTACCAGCTCATGTTTGGAGTTTGCCAAATGCTTGCTGTCAAAAATTATTACATTGAGCTGCCAGCTTTGTTTGGGAGCTTCTCGGGCAAACAACATTTCGAGAAGGGGCCAGATCACGATGACAGTGAGAAGAGCACCTCGAAGAAGAAGCAGAAGAAGAAGGAGGAAGAACAATCGTAAGAGAAGAAACATATTGATAAGAAGGCGATGGCGAAGCTGATCGCAAGGGAAAAGACAAAGACAAATGCTGGGTAAGAAGATCAAGAGAAGGCCGAAGACAGGGTGATAACCGTAGCGAGTACGAGTGCTAGAAAGAAGGTGAAGACGATGACGATTACGATGAGAACGGCCAAGACTGAACAATCCTGAGTCTGCCAAACAAAGCTGGATTTCTGTTGGGACACTGTCCAAGTCCACGCTGGGCCCCCGGTTGCGCCTCTTTTCCAGGAGCTGATACGGTGTCGCAGGCAAACCTCACGTTTGCGTGCTCCGTCGTGGACGTGCGTTTGCAAGGTTCGGGGGGAACAATTACTGCACGACCCCCCTCGGAATCGCCAGGACGCGGCCGCGGTTAAGCGCGCGCAGGTTTCTCCAAGACCCCCTCTCATTGTTTTTTTGGGTCGTTTGCGATCGCATTTTGCCCACCGTGCCACTGCGCTTGGGCGCCGTGCCACTGCGCTTGGGTGTAGCGGAGGGCGGGTCAGCGGTGCCCGGCCGCCCCTCGGCTGCTTTGGGCGCCTTGGCTGCTCTCGCGCGTGCTGTGGGGCTTTAGCCGCCGCGCTCTGGCTAGTCTACTTAGCTGGTTCAGAAACTGCTGTTCAAACCCCGCTTGTTGCAGGGCTTTGGCTGCCGGGCTCTGGCTACTAAACCTACAAAACTGCCGTTTGAACCCCTCCAAGAGCACTGCGCCCTGGCCGGCTGCTGGCCGCGCCCTGGCTGCTCTCGCGCTTGCTGCGGCTTTGGCCGCCGGGCTTTGGCTACTCTACTTAGTGGGTAAACTGTCGCTCGTTTCGATTCACCGTGCCGCTGCGCTTGGTTGGCGGGGCTGGGCTCTGGCTAGTCTACTCCCTTGTCGAAGGTACCAGGTGTTTACCCACCCGCGCGTCCGAGTGGCTTCCACCCCTGCTCACGCTCATCCGCATCTGGCAATTGATAAGCACACACCACGCTTGCGCATGATAAGCACACCCGCTCACGCGCGCCACGTAAGAGCTGCACGCACGCTGGCGCGTGATAAGCGCACCCGCTCACGCGCATCACGACGCGCGCGCGCTGGCGCATGATAAGCACACCCGCACGCGCATCGCGTCAGAGCTGCACGTTCGCTGACGCATGACAAGCACACCCGCTCGCGCGCATCAAGTCAGAGCTGCGCTCACGCCAGCACATTAAAAGCACACCCACAGGCATGACGTCAGAGCGGCACGTGCCTTAGCGCATGACAAGCACACCTGCTCACGCGCATCAACGTCAGAGCTGCACGTGCACTGGCAAACTGTGACTTGCTCCAAAACCGCGCATGTCAACCTGAGATTCAGCTGGCCTGAGCTAGCTACCGGGATGTCCCACAACTCCTTAGAAACATGCACACTTGTCAAGTTGCCCGAGAATGACATGCCAGAAAACGTTGGGGTGACTATGTACCCGGCTCGTTGTAGAAGACTTTTCGGACGCGTCGCAATTGCCGTGTCGCAATGTTTACTTCACCCAAATCGTCTTTTGTAAGCTGTAAGCCGGTCAGCGGCGCAAGACGAATGGCCTGCTAGCTTTAGCTATCTCGTCACTTGGTCGTGATGCGTTGCCTAAATCCGGCACCTCTGAGGTTCAGGGCCAAGGGCGGGGAATGACGTCAACAGCGAGAGCCCCAACAGCAGCTTGCGCCCAAGTCTGCGTACGGCGCGCCGATGATGCCATCTTTCCCGCTCCCGAATCCTACCCAGGACGTCGCCAACGCAGCCAAGACGGCCTCAGTTTCAACCTGCCTCTCCTCCTCCTCCTCCTCCTCCTCCTCCTCCTCCTCCACGAGCAGCCGCGCAACCTATGACGTCCCAGGTTTGAAAGCTGAAGGCAGGCCTTCCGCGAACGTCCCGGGCTTTACCAGTTTACCCCATCCGAGCGCAATACGACACTTTGTGCAAGGGAAGTTGGCGTGCCAGCTCTTGCTGTTCCCCCTGCTGGAAACCCAGCGATGCCCTGTGCCTTCCAAGTGGATACCGCTGATCAAGAGGCCGTTGGCGCCTTCTGAGCGCCATGACCCTTGCAGGGAGCGACCCAGGTCCCATGATCTGGAACCACTCACTTGTTGCAGGGGCGCGGCAACTGCAATTCACCGTGCGCAGCGAAGCTACGGTTGCAGATGGGAAGAGAAGCCACTGTGAACCGACTTTGCTGGGTTGCAGGGTTGATGCTCGATTTGCCGCGTTTGACTTTGATTGCCGCTCTCTCTCTCTCTCTCTCTCTCTCTCTCTTTCCCTTTGTCTTTCTCTTTCTCTTTCTCCCGGCGGGGGTCTATGTTTGGGCTTGTGCTCATGTTGCTGCGGCCGCATGCTCTCATTCAAGCTTGAGAACATCTAACCGCATGTCACGTCACGCGCGGCATCCAATCCGTTCTGCCTTAAATTCTTGTTTTACAAGGGGCTAGGAACTGAAGGTGTAACGTCACGCCCTCGCTGAGGATCGCGGTGGGTGAGAAGTCCAGGACACGACCTCAGATTGGCAAGAAGCACCTCACAGGTTTTGCACGCATGTCCTTACGGGGCTTCGCCCAAGTTAAAAGTTCCAGCTGAGGATCGGGGATGGGACATAAATGCGTGAGAGCCTAAACCTCCAGCAAGGCCATTCAGTTTTGCCAGGCTGCCGTCTGGAATGCCTGCAAACATTATATTTAGACGGCTTTTCACATGCCAGAGTTCCTGAACATTTGTAGGATTTCCAGCAATTGCGAGATCTTTGGCAGGAAAAACTGTATTGCGGAATCGCTCGTGCTGGCCAGGTCGCCAGCCAGCTTCGCAAGTGACGCGCTTTGAATTGCATTCTTGCTGCCAGATTTTGCCCAGCCACTCAGCACCCTATTCGCCTTAGCAATCCAATGGCGTGGCTGGGGGAGCCTAACATCCCGGAGCTGGGGCCAACAACGGCAGCCACAGAGGTACAACACTTGAAGCGCGGCATAAGTGTCGTGGCAACGTTGCTGCGGAACAAAGCTCGCAGGGTGGTGCTAGCGCCCGAGGCAGGCGTCAAGGAGCCAGCGCTGAAGGATTACGCTCAAACAAGGCCTAGGCCTGCCAAGGCCAAAGCTGGTCCCAAGGCAAAAGCAACAGCTGACAAGCCAAAAGCTGCGAAGAGCAAAGCCCAGGCAAAAGCCAAGAGTAAGCTGAGCAAACCGATCCCGAAGGCAGGCTGACGCATGACGCTGCAATTCGATCAGCTGACACATGACGTTCGGAGGAGAAAGCCGCAACTATTGGCAAAGGAGGAACGAAAGATCATGGAAGAGTTTTTGCAACACTTCAGCAGAATCTGCATCTTGGCAGCTATGGAGGCTTGTCACATACGTGAAGGAATTTGGTGTGGCAGTTGCGGTTTGCGGCAAGGAAAGGCATCACCAAGCCAGACCTCAGGCACGACAATTGATCTTCGCTTGGCAATAACTGTGTGAGGCAATCCTGAGTTGGTGGTTTGGATTGGTAGTGTGGGGATGTGGACGGGGGCAAAGAGGAAGTCAGGAATTCAATCTCGGGAAGCTAACTGCCCCAATTAACCGGGCTCTTGCCAGGCGTCTTGCCAGGAGGGCAGGCGTTCACCGCATGGCCGCTGCCATCAATGACGAGGTCAGAGAGGCGTTGTCCCTCTTCCTGAAAAAGATCCTGCAGGATGTGGCCGTCTACGCGGAGCACGCGCGCCGGAAAACAGTGACTTGTCAGACATGTCACGACGCGTGACTAAAACCATGTGCCTTCATGGCAGTCGCTTGGGGTTCCGCGTTGAGCTTTGCTCAGTGCGTACGTGAACAGGCAGTGCCCCTGGATGTTGTTCTAAGCCTTCGCCGCACTGGCCGAGCTTTGTACGGCTACTGATGGGCGAGAGAGTCAAATTAAGTGCTCTGTTTTGGTGAGAGTCCCGCGTCCCCGCCGGCTGAAAGAGCCCAGTCTTGGGAACGCGTCTGCTTCAAGAGCAAGGCGCACGGAGAACCTCACCCAATTTTGTTTTCCGAAGGGCCCCAACATCTGAACGCTGGGTCGCCCAAAGGGCTTGGGCGTTGACCCAGCTCACCCATTTTGCGACCAATGTTTCGCCACATTTGCCAGATGCAGGGCCAAAAGATTCGACACAAGCTTGGGGACCCTCTGGGCGAAAAAGCATATGCCTCGCACCAGGACGCATGGCGCACGCCCTCTCGTTGCTCAAGGAAGAGGAAGAGGGGGGCAGCAAGGAAGAGCCAGTACCGAAGAGCTTAGACCCAACCGTGCAGCAAAAACAGCTTGACCTGCAGCACTAGCTGGATGCAATCGCTTGAGGGCAAACCATGAACATTGCTGCGAGCAATGTGGCATGGCTGCGTGGAAGCCCCCAGCAGCTCACACACTCTGCGAGCAGTCGAAGGCGCATTGCCTTCAGCTTTTGAGATGTCCATAAAGCTTTGAGCTGCGTGCCGACGAGCTGCGGACGGCCACTGAAATCTGAGGAAGCGCAGGTCGGTTATTTGAAGATGAGCTGGAGAGGCTTCGGGCCGGAACCAGGAATTCAAAGCACCATGCTGACAGCGAGGGTAGCTTGCAGCTCCTTTGCATGGTTGAGGGACGTGCCACATGTGGCTGTTGGCCTGGCAACGCTTCACGCTCAGGCTTGCCCCCCTAGAGCTACGAAGAAATGATCCAAACGTGCGCATTGGACAGCCGCCACCGGACCGTCTTGCGCCCTGGCACGAGAGCACCTCGGCAGTTTTATCCAGCGCCCTGCCCAGATACGGGAAGTGAAGCAGAAGGAAAAGGACCTCGCAGCCATGTTGCGCAATACCACAGGAATTACGTGCGGCGGCCGCACTGTTCCTAGCAATTGCATGTGTTGTTTGGGTTGCTGATATAAGAATACCTTGTTTAGTGCGATGTTTGCGAGTTTGAGGACATTGCACTCGTGGACATTTCTGCGAGCCAGGACGGTTCGTTTCTTGTTGGCACGTATGAGTGGAGCATGACGTGTCAGACCAAACACCTACAAGGGGCAGCCAGAAACTACCCAACAATTATGGTGCGGCGCGCAAGTTGCAAGGGCCAGAGGGTCACCAGAAGGCGCAGACATGCAGGGAGCATGCGCATGGGCGCACGGCAACTCCAGGGTTGGAGGCGGGCTGTCAGACCTTGAACGAATAAGTTTGCTGTTTCTGGATTGCTCACTTTTGGCATGGCAGCCCTTGGGACTGAAAAAGGACACCGGCTTGGCAAAAGGGCTTTGGTTTCTGGAAATTATATTGACAGACCCTAAGTTGGAACATCAGTTGGTGAATCCATGTCTAGCTGAACCCGGGCTAGAACTCTCTTGAGCGTGCGGAATTTCTCTGGGTACTTTTGCTTTAGCGCACCCAACATAGAACATCAACTGCCAAGTATATAAACTGTGACTTTGCTTATCAGTCCAAAGCCACCCAAGAGGCACAAGATGGTGAACCCTTGTTGCATGCTGAGTTTCAGGGAGTTTGCTTCCTTACTATGCGCTTTTTCTGTGGGGTGATTTGCGTTTCATGGTGTCTCGCAACATGACTGCTTTGTTTGCAACATATGTCAACTGTGCATCTGCCGATGTTCTAACTGTGGGCCCCGCCAATTGAAGCAGGAAGAAGCCACCTGCTTGTTGAGATGTCAGCTTCCTATTCCTTTCTAATGCGGCAGCACTCAATTCACTCTCACTGGCGGGGGGGGCAGCGTCGGGCCTGGAAATCGGCAAGTTTTCAGACTGCTCTTGTATATATAGGCTTGAAACTTTCGAGTTTTTCCAGGGTTGAGGGTTGAAGGTTTTTTACATATCAGGGAGCTGGGCTGTTCCGGGGTCAAATCGGACGACCGTGCGTCTGCCCGTTAATTAGAACAGGAAGGAGCCACGTGGGGATTTAAGTTGCAGCTGTGTTGTCTAGCCCTAGAGCTCAGCTTCCTATTCCCACCGGCAGGGGGGCCTGTTTAGGGTTGAGGGTATGGAGCAGGTTTTTCGGATCAAACCGGACAACCGTGCAGGCCACGTTTTTTTAACAGGAAGAAACCACATGCTTGTTGAAAAATGAATTTGGGCTTAAAGCGCGGGGGCTCTAGTTGCAGCTGTTGTCTAGCCCTAGAGGCCAGCTTCCTATTTCTATCGCGGCTGCACTACTAGCATTCTTGCTTGTTCAGGGTTAAAACATCTGGAGGGGGGTTGTTTAGGGTTCAAGCCGGACAAACGTGCGTCTGCAGATGTTCTATCTGTGAGCCTAGAAAAGGGGAAGAAAAAACATGTGGAATGCGCCGCTGTGTTGTCCCTAGAGGTCAGCTTCCTATTCCTCTCAAGCACAGCAGCACTCATTTTACTCTCTGGGGCGGGGGGGGGGGGAGCGTTTGTTCAGGGTTGAGGGTTGTGGGCTGAAAGATATGGGAGGGGGGTTGTTTAGGGCTCAACCCGGACAACCGTGCATCTGTCTGTATAAACAAGAGGAGTCCTTGAATAGCTTCAGCCCGAGCTTTCCTCTGAGAATAAAATGCGTACCGCGGAAGGTGACCTCTAAGGCTAGACAACACAGCTGCAATTAAAACCAACCTTAAGTTCAAAACCATTCTTCAAACTTTTGCAGAATGGTTTTAGCTTAAGGCGCTACGATCTCAGTTGCAGCTGCGTAGTCTACCCGTAGAGCTCAGCATTTCCATTTATTCACACGAACGGCGGCGAACCTCTGCTCTTCAGGCTTGAAAGTTTGTTGAACCGTATGGAGGGGGGTTGGGAAAAGTTCAAGTCAAACAGCCGTGCATCTGCCGATGTTCTAACTGTGGGCCTCGCTCCCTGAAACATAACCCTAAACAAACCCCCGCCTGAAAGTTGCCGGTTTGTAGGCCCGACGCTCCCCCCCCCGGTGAGAACAAAATGAGTGCTGCCGTACCAGACGGAAATAAGAAGCTGAATTCTAGAAGCATGAGTTTTCTTCCTGTTGCAAGGAATGGGGCCCACAGTTAGAACATCGGCAGATGCACGGTTGTCCGGCTTGAACCTACGATTGAAGCAAACAAGTTTCAAGCCTATATATTCAAGAGCAGTTCCCCCTTTATGAGATCTTCCGCGCTAGAAAGGAATTGGAAGCTGATGAGCTGTAGACTGCGCAGCTGCAAGTAAAATCTACGCGCTTAAGCTTAAATCCATTATTCACAAAGCGTGGTTTCTTCCAGGCCCAATTATCCGGGCCCACAGTTAGAACATTTGTTGTCCGGATTGAACCCCGAACAGCCACCTTCAGCCCTCAACCTCTCAACGCCAAACAAACCCGAAAGTCCAAGCCTGTGTAAACAAGAGCAGTCCTCCAATAGTTTTTTACCCCGCTACGAGTTCCATGAGTGCTGCCGCGCTAGAGAGGAATAGGAAGCTGACCTCTAGGGCTAGACAACACAGCCGCAACTAAAAGGGCTAAGAAGCAAACTTTACAAAACATGTGATCTTCCTGTTTCAACCAACGGGGCCCACACTTAGAACATCGACAGATGCACGGTTGCCCGGGTTGAACCCTAAACATCCCCACTCCATATGTTTCAGCCCCCAACCCGAAACAAACAAGTTTCAAGCCTACATAACAAGAGCAGTCCTCCAATGGCTTTTACCCTAAACAACCCCACAACCGGACAGTTGCCGATTTCCAATCCCGACGCTTCCTAGGCCTCCCCCCATGACTGCTGCCGCCCTCTTCAACAACATGCTTTCTTCCAGATTCAGGGACCGACGCCCCCAATTGTAGGCTTGAAACTTTGGAGGGAGGAGGACGAAGGGAGGGAGGGGACAGCAGGAAGACTTCTCGCTTTAGGCAAGTTCCAGAGTTTGAGTCGCATGTTCTGACTGGAATAGATACGGTTACAGTTTCCATAAATTCTGCCCCACACGTTCTAACTCAATGCCACAACTGGCCAGGGTTTCAAACACTTGGCTCGTGCGACGTTGTAAGTCGAAACGCGGCGAGGTTTTGACAACGATTGACATGGATGTTCTATCTGCTACTCGTCATGTTTCTGTAACTAGCCATATGCTTGATGTTCTCAGGCACGTTTGGTGAATTGTCGACATTCTAGCTTGAAGTACGTCATTATATATTTTATAGTTTCTGTTTTGTTTGCAGGGGTGGGCGGGCAATAGGGGGACATCTTTGCTCGGGAGGGGGTTCTGTCGGATACCAACATTGGCTTGGTTCGAAGACGCACAAGGGAAGCCGGCGATGTTTGTATCGAGGAAAGTTGTGTGGAAAAGGGTGGAGGGCAACCCCCCCCCTTCAGGCCCCTTTATCCGGCCACTTTGGCTCTCTCAGCGGCCATCCCGCCGGTTGTGATCTCTTACTGCCGCGAGCAGACCAAGCTGGGCAATGACGGTGGTCCAGGCAACTCAGGTGAGGCTGGTCTTCCGGTTTGCGAGGAGGATCCTTCACACCAAGGCTGGCGGCAACTGCAACTCTGAGAGGGCCCGAGCCCCTCGGAGTCGAAGGGAATAGGCAAACGTTTCGGAGTCACGGAGGGGGCTGAGGTGAACGGTTTGTTTGCAGGAGAAGATGAACAGCGTGCCACTGGAGGAGGAGCGTACGGGCGAGCAGCTGTTGGCGGTGGTGGAATCACTTCGTTCGTCATCCTACGCGGACTTGGCAGCGCGGGTGCCACTTGCAAGGAAAGCGCAACGGGCAGCGAAGAGTTGAGCGGCTGGCCAACTAGGCACAATGGCTTTAAGGTCGACGGTCAAAGCTTTTGAGTGGGATGGGAGCCCAACCAGCCAGCCAATCTCGGACGACAGGTTCTCAAAGAACCCGGCATTGTTCTGGCTGGCACATGGAGGCAGAGGTGTCCCTAGACCGGCGGAGGTCATCATCTCGCAACAGGTGCCGGGCGGGGGGCAAACATCTCGGTCCACAGAGGAAACCGACGGACGGAAGGAGGAGAAGAAGGAGGAGGAGGTGGCGGAGAAGGGTGACTGGTGAGGCCAAGGGCCGAAACCAACAATGAGCAGCAGCAACATGAGGCCAACAACAGCACGTTGGGGGAAGAAGGGTTCTGCCCCCGCCAGTGACGTGGGAGAATCCCTGAGAACGACCGACAAGTGCCTCTCGGCGTCGAAGCTGGAGGAGGTAAGAAGCGTGGCGCGCAGCAACCCGAACATCCATGAGGTGGTGTTCAACACGTGCAGCTATCAGCAGGAGCTGCCTCCAGGACAACAGGCGCTAAAGGCGCAGAGGTTCTCGGGCACGCTGGCAAGGACATGCACGTGTCCGCCCGGGGCTCAACGCGAGATGATGGGGAAGGAGGTGTCGGCAAGGTCAGTGGCTAACCCGAAGGAGCTCTGCAGGGAACTGGCGAAGATGATCCTCAACCAGCTGGCCAAGACTGAAGACCAAGTGATTGGCGGAGAAGAGCAAATCAACTCCGCGAAAGACAAGGTAGACGCCCAGTTTGGGTGGGTCGGCAGAGGAAAGTTTGGCATGTTGAACAACCTGATCAAAGCAGAGAAGGAGAGGACGGCGGACCCGCGTGTGGGCGGCATAGGAACCTGGCTGCGCAGCAGGATCAAGGCGGCGCGGGAGAGGGTTAGGAGGGTCTTGGTGGAGAGACGGGACGTGTGGACATTAACAAGGCCATCCAGACCTATGGCGTGTTCCCCCGTGAAGGAGGAGTTGACCGTGGACAACGAGCTGTGCTGAGCGGGCGAGCGCCTGAGCAATATCAAGGAGGGCTACGCGGACAGGTACGGCGGTGGGATGCTATCTGCGCTGGGGCTCATCATCAAGAAGGCGTCGTCGATCTCAGAAGGTCACGCGGCATCAAGAAAGGCCTGAGCCGTTGACCCTGCCAAGGCCCTTGGATGTGATCAGCATGGTCAAGTTCATGGCCCGACACGAGATGGAGGTGTACAAGAAATACGCGAAGCTGGGCTTCAAGACGACGGACTGGAGCAGAGAGCTGGCAGTGATCGATGTGAAGGATGCGTTCATGTCTGTGGCCGAGGCTCGCGTCACAGGTGGCAAGGCTGTTGCAGGCGTGCGTGGGCGCGGCGGAGGGGAGCCACAAGGGATGGACGAAGGGACATGTCCTTGAGCAGGAAGTTTCTTGAGGAGCTCGCGAAGCTGCCACGCCGCTAGCGGCAAAGCACAAATCAAAGGGCTTCACAAGCCGCTGGCAAGGCTTCTGATTCTTGGTTGGCGGGCATATTGCCCCGCACGCGCTGGAGGAGGACAAGCCGCGAGATGTGTGATTCGCGGACATGATTCTGCGGTGGTGGCCACCGACGCGTTCGTTGAGGGCCTTGGCGATGTCTTGGTCATCAACGGCTAGCCGGTGCAAGCCTTGAAGGGGATCAAAATCCGCAAGGTTGACCTGTTGGTTGTGGGTTAATGGATGCCCAGCACAAACGCAGTAGCCCCGCAGCAAGGAAATTCCGAACCAGAGCGCTCATGGGCGGGCGGTGAACATCTCCAGTGGCGTGTCGCTTTGGCAGGGTGGGCGGGGACTCCACATGCGTCTTGAAGACACAAAAGGGAAGCCTGCGATGTTTTGTGTCGAGGGACAGGTTGTGTCCCTTTGTCGGGCCATCCCCCCGGCGCCTTTGACATAGTATCGGGTGGCAGTCGGCCAGAAAAAAAGGGGGCTTTGTTCACTCTAACTCAGTCATAGTTGCAAACTTGCCACTGCTTGGCCATGCTTGTTTAAGCCTAAACAAGCATTGGGCTCCATGCTTGCACGGGCAAGCTTGGCCAAGCGCCTGAGGCTGCGCAAGCAAATCCTGGTGCCAGCCGCCGTGGATGCGCCAAGCGTCTATCATGGCGCCACTGTCCGGGCGCAGCCACTTCCTGAGCTTTATGAGATGGCTGCAGCTGCAGCTCATGATGTCGTGACTGAGGATCACCGCAGCCTGTAAAAACTCGCGTTCTCCAGAGTCTTGCCTCCTTCACGGGCCAAAAGAGCAACCCGTCCAGGAAGAACAATGGCGGTGCTTTGCATGCCAGGCGCTCGCATGTTTTGCGTTAAGTTGGCACTCAGGCACATTTGGTCAGCAGCTTGTGGGGCTCGATGCCAGCTCGTGGAGTTGACGATTTCATCGATGAAGCAACTTTGCGCCACATCTTGTTCCGCAATAACTTATTTGTTCTTGAGCACGCCCCCGCAATCCCATCCGATTTGGAGCCGTGGCCCAAGGCTTGGCGAATCTTGCGTCGCCAGCAGTGGGAATGCGGAGCTCTATGTTGACAGGGCTCTTGGGATCGCAGGTGCTCACGAAGAGGTTGGGCCAGCGTGAGAGGTGTACTGTTCTTTCTTGAACTAGCTCTGAGTTGCTGCAAAGTCTTTTGGTCCCTCCAGCGCTTGGTGCCCCGTTGGGATTTTTCACGCGCGCGCGCATGCCACCCTTGGTGATGAAATGACAGCGGGGCCTGCTTACTTCAACAGCACTTCCTACCTTTTTATGGTTACCTGCCAAACGTCTTAGCTTGGTCAAGGCCCCATGCTTGCTGAGACGCTTCAACACAGGAATTCATATACTGACGGACTCTCAGCTATAATTCGAAAAGTCACGAAACGGGCTTAAAAACGTCGAAAAATGGCAGCTCTTTTGCGAGCAAATGAAGGCCTTAGAACATTGGGCCCCGAGTAGAACGCGCCCCCCTTTGCAAGCGGTGGTGTTGACTGTGAGAACACTGGGGCGCGGGGGGGGGGGGGGCGTTTGCTGAACCCGTCCTTACCCGCCGCAATTTAGAACATACAATTCTAGTGCTGGAAGCCAACATCACGGCATCCGAGTACTTTCTTGCCACATGCATTAATCACTGGCAATACCAAATTTTCAAGTGGTAACGCTGTCAACAAGTACTGTCAATGGTACATCTTGCGCTGGAAATGATCGGTTAAATGCTGGAGTACTGAATTAAGTGCCGGCAACACTAACTGAAGGAAATAGTGTCTAGATTACGCACTCGCGATATTACATTAAGTACTGGCAGTGCGCACGCGGCCGAACATTTGCAATCTTTCCAGGGAGGACTTATTGAGCTACCCCTTCTCGATTCCAGCATGTGGGTGTAGAGAGCAAAGGTTCGAAGCCTGAAAAAAGGTCTTTTTAGCATTGGCTATGCTACAGTGATACAATACCTAAGCACTGGCAATACAAAAGGTCTTTAGCATTTGAGTTGGGAAGGGCTCAGATACACTCTTCTTTAAAAGTACAAGGCTGAGGCTTTGATCAAGTATATTTTCGCGAACTCTTGCAGCGCTTTGTCCCGTTTAGCTTTGTTTTGCGGGGCCTCTTACTTGGCAACCAGCATCGGCAAGGGCGTCCCAGCGCATGCCTGAGCCAACAGTCCAAGAAATGCCTGGCGCGCACGGCGGAGATTGCAATGGCTCGAAGCTTCTCATGCGTTAGGGATTGTGTGTGGTTTCTACAGGTTGGAAGAACGTCATCATGCAAAGTACACAGTTGTCTGCTACCAATGCTCGCCCAGCACGCGCTGAATTGGCTGCATGTTCTTCATTGAAACCAGATCTTGGCACGCAAACGCATGCTTTATAGCTCACCTGGGTTGTTACATCAGGTGCGGAAGAACGCACAGGAACAAACCGTGGAAGCTGGAAGCAGCGTGGTGGGGTTCTCTTGGGCAAGGCTGGGCGCAGTGGAACTCGAATGGCGGGCTGGTTGGGTTTGGATCTGCGTCGTGGTATCTTGTCAGCAATCAGCTCGGCTTCAGCCAGTGGTTCAGTGTGTCCTACTTGTGTCGGTCTACGCACTACACTCGGCTCAAGAAAAACAAGCGTGCGCTTGCCGGTTTAGCCTCCGGTTTTTTGCCTGATCTATTTTAAGATATCAGCCGCAAGTGGCTTCGTGTGCAAAAATTGCGCGCCATGAATGCCGATCCTGGACACTCCCCTACCGAGGCTTTCCTTTGAGCCGGCAAACGACGCAGCTTCGCTATAGGAACCGGCTAGCCGAGCAAATTCAGAAGTGGCCAGAGAACCCATCACGAAAGGTGACCCGAGTCGCCACGATGACGAAGTGACCAAGAGCGACCTGGTGCTCGACCGACTTTTGCAGCGGAAGTCGAACAGCATCAACATTGAAAACATCACCATGTACAAATGCGCAGCTTGACCCGTCATTGACTGTGCGACAGCAACAGGTCGATGCGACACAGAACGCTGCCCAACGCAATGCCTATGTCAACCAGCACACAAGACCTCTGGTTGCTCGCATCGGCTTCCTGCACCTGCTGCGCCCCCTGATGCATCACTACCTCCACAATCCGGCGCTGCGCAGGTGTTCGATTCTCGCAGCCGATCCCTATGGCAAGGAGATGCTGCCCCTGGAAACGGTGCGCCTGATTTAGGAAAAATGTAGGCAATGTTTTGAAGAGCCTCTAAGCCTCTTTTAATAGAATTGTTGTTCTTGATGTTCAGTTCCTTTCTCTTAAACTTTCCTTCAACAGGGTTATAGGGTTTCTTTTTCTAGTACTATTTGGTCACCCCCCCCCCCATGCTCCACTTTTTCAAAGTTTTGAGCCATTCACACTGGACAAATTGCTCCGCATCAGATTCATCCTGAATCATGGTGCAGAAAGTGGAGCAGATGTTTTGAAAATGGGAGCAAATGATTCGCGTGGATAATTCTTGGGGTGGAGATGATTTGCATGGAGAGCCTCCTGGATAGTGAGTTTGCAGGCTGCAGGTGGAAAGTGCTGTGCTGGCCCTAAAAACTTAGAACCTCATGCCAAAACCAGTTTTGGGTATCTATGCAAAATAATGTTTTGTAGGGAGAGCGCAGCACAGATTTTAGGGACAGTGCAGCACTTGCACGAGCATGCAGAAAGTTTCGTACTGTCCCTAAATTGTGTCTTGGGAAGCCGGACTGTAGGTGACAGTACAGTACTTTTGGACACGAGCATGCAAAAAATGCTGTATTGTCCCTAACATGCAAGCTTTGGAAGCCAAGAGTGCAGCACTGTGCCAGCAGAATTTAAAATCTCATTCCAAAACCAGTCTTGGGCATCCGTACAACAAAAATGACGTTTTTGTTGGACTACAGCAAGCCCAGATTTTAGGGACAGCGCAGCACTTTCTGCGGACTGGTTGTGGCATGAGGGAACAGGACCTTTGGCTTCCAATTGTAGGGACACTACAGCACCTTTTAGCCTTCTGCTCGGTTGAGATCCCGTTTGCCCTTCTTCCCTTTTCCCTCGTTTTTGGCGCTTTCGCATGTTTGTACGCTGATCCGCGCTAATCCGGGCTGATCCGCGCTGATCCGCGCTGTTCCGCGGTGATCCGCGCTGATCCGCGCTGATCTGCGCTGTTCAGCGCTGTTCAGCGCTGATCCGCGCTGTTCCGCTCTGATCCACGCTGACTCGCGCCGATCCATCTGTGCTGATCCGCGCTGGTCCGCGCTGATCCGCGCTGATCCGCGCCGATCGATCCGTGCTGATCTGCGCTGATCCGCGCCGATCGAAACTTTCCCATGCCTTCCCAGAGCGCACGCATGACCTTGCCTCTGAGTCTGATAAGATTCCGCACGCTTCATGATCCGCCGGCGCGAGGGCTACAATTTTCGGGCGGTGATCGTAATCCGAGTGTCTCTTGCTTGGCCACCTTTCGCTTAGCATCTGTAAGTGTGGCCCAGCCCGCTGCTTGGACGGGCGGCGTACTTGCTATGCGATCGGCGAACTTAAGCGATTTGCTAAGCCACTTGCAAGTTGCCTAACTTGAGTTAGTAAGTCCGCTAAGTCTGACTTAGCGGGCTTACAACCTGGCTAACGGCTTTCGGCTCGGCGGTCAGGCGCCACTTCGACTTGGCGAGTTAGAGGGCTTAGCTAACTACCTACAACTATTCAGCATCTACTTAGCAAAGTCCTCCAGCTCGCCAAGTGGACTTAGTCAGGTTGTAAGTCTGCCAACTCAGACTTAGCGAGCTTAATAACTCAAGTTAGGCAACTTGCAAGTGGCTCAGCAAATCGCCTAAGTTCGCCAATTACATAGCAAGTAGGCCGCCCATCTAAGTGGGATGGCAGGACTAATGTATCCATTCCGCCCGACGACATCGTTGCCAGACCGTGAGATCTCGCTAACACTCGGTGAGCGTCTTGATCCCGCGCTCAGCCGCATCCAGCGCTTGAGTCCGGCCTTGCCCCCCGTGTCATCCCACTCCACACGTTGCGTTTGTGTCCGAAGAGCGGCTTCCTGCTCTCCTTGCTGATCAACCCAACATCTGTCCGCGCCCCCCCCCCCGACAAGAGCATTGAAGCTGCCGCCAAACAAAATGTCATTAATTGCCGGTGTCCCGGGCAGCAAAGCACGTCATGCTTCCTCCAGCCAGGGAAATCTCCAGAATTGGGCAAGCCAGATGGAAGTCTTTGAGGATGAGCGCCTGGGTTGCGAGTCGCGGACGGAACAGGTCTGACCAACCTTTCGGCTTCCGACTCTCAATTCAATTTATGTGGAATCACCTCTGCTTTGATGGAACTGCCATAGTTCAGGGTTTTAAGAGCCCTAGTCAATGCGAGCCTCCGGAACGGTCACGGCAGTTCCAGGGTCGAAGGCAGACCGCACGCTTCGCGGCATCGTTTGGCAGGCTCAGCCATTGCCGCAGCTAGTGATATAGCGACTTTCTCTTAGGCCGAAACTGCGTAGGCAAAGGCCTTGTGGATCAGGTCAGTCATAGCACAAGTGCAGGGTTCAGTGTTCTTGAGATTAACCCCCCTGCCGTCAGCATGTTCACCTTGCAAGAACGCACGCTAGCATCCAAAAAAAGCTGTGAAGGCAGCGCATGTTGGTTTTGGCAGTCCGTGGCTTTTTCGTAGCAATGCCTTAAGAGGTCTTACCTCCAACAGCGCACCCCTCAAATTTAACACGGCTCTATCGTTCCAATAAATACAGCTTCTCGGCCACCCAATGGCAAAAAAAGTCATAGCAAATTCCAACATCAAGTCACATTCTGACAAAACTCTTATGTGCGTAGATTGATGACGCTTCACTGAGACGCTTCACCTGATCTTTTGCAGAATCATTGGTAATAGGGACCACGCTGTTCCACCGGCACAAGGAATTCCGCCCATGCTAAAAACGGTGCGTGAAGACCAGATTCTTGACCTCACCAGCATGTGAAACAGGGTCATCGCCCTAGGTGATGCGAGTGATTTAGCATCCGTCAGTGACACGTCGGGTGGTATCCCAAAGTTTCGATTCGCCTGAAGAACATACCTCGATAAGGATATGGTTCGGGTGGCCCCCCCAAATTCCTGGCCTTGGATTTCTCCAGGCGTTGCGTCGAAGCGACCGTCTTGCCCGAGAGTTCCGATGAGCTGACAATATTGATCAACTTCAACCCTTCCTGCCATTTTTCGGCATCAGGAACAGGTTTCGTCTGAGTGTCAGCGGCATGAAGTTCGGTCGAAACATGCGTCAACTTCCTCCCAACCAGGGCTGCGAGTTGCGGGTAGGTTTGGATTGGCACGTTTGCGTTAGACGCTGCAATGCCGACCTTGATGTGTCAAGCAAATCGGAGATGAAAGGTAGGACGTGAAAGAGTGACGCTCATCAATCGTGGGACATTTGAAGGATCCTCGAAAGTGGCAGACGCCCCGCGTTCCGCCACGCCGACAAAACTCAACGCGTTAATCTCGCATGATTTGCGAACAGAATAGCAGGAAGCATTACGAGGATAAAGTTCGTTCCGCTTTTCATCGCACCTTCTCCTAATGTATCCTTGAGTGATGTCATGTGTCCAATAATCTGAGGTCCGGGATGGTGGTTGCGCGTATAGGGTTTTCCTCACCACTCGCCAACTGTATGACTTCCCAGACACAGGATGCCTGGCAAAAGCGATGGTCCATGGTAGTGCGAACTTTCGTGGATTTCCGCTTGAAAGCAAGGCTTCATGGTCCGGGTCGACCTCGTGCTTTGTGGGCGTGGTGCAATCATTTGTCCTCCTGTTTCACCTCCGGACACGTGATCTTCTACCAGCCTGTGTGCGCCACAAACAATCCCTAACGCATGAGTGTCTCACTAGCGTACCTGTGTATACTTGCTGCACCTGGCTCAAGAACGGCAAGCCTGCGCTAGCTTGTTTAACTTCGGTTTTTTGCCTAATCTATAAATTGTCAGATGCATTTTGTAGGTCGCGCGTTGCCAATCATTCCAGCGGGCCGCCTCTGCGTTGCATCCAGCATTGGCGCAAAAGGCGATTACAATTCCTCGTGGTCCTTCACGCATGCTGACGCTTGACCTGTGACCGGCACCGCCAGTGACATGCTTGGAGCACAGACAGGAACAACTTGCTGGGCCTCTTGTTCAAGTCAGTTCTCGTCGCGACTGCGCAGGCCATTCCTAGAGCCGGCATGCCCCGCAGCCCCTTGAAGGTGGAGTACAGCGTAGTCTTGAAGGACATCAGCCCCCCATGGCCTGCTGACTGCAGGCCAAGCGCGCTGTTGCTTTGGGCGGACGAGCAGAGACTTGTCTTTGAGTTTCGGGAGCTGGTTGGTTGCTGGCCGGCTTTGCGCTTGTTCGTATGAAGAATCTTCTGCAGATGTCCTGCGTGCAAGCTATAAGCTGCAACTGTGTGCCATTCAGCTTGCCGCTTGAATCAACCCAGACATGCTAGGAAGCAAATCGCAACCCAGATGCTCCAACAAGACCAGGTGCACCTGGCACTTTTAAAGCAGCTTGGCGTCGTCGTTTTCTAAACCCATGCGGCCGGGTTCGAAAGTCGTGGCTGAGGTTTTTGATGCTGCATGAGATGACGAATAGAACCGACACAGGCAGTGCTGCCCGGGGCTGCTGACACTTCCACACAGAAGGGAGGTATGATGTTCTTTGCCTTTCTTACGGTGGTTGCAGGATGGAGGGCAGGCGTTGCCACGAAGCATTTTCTCTTTTTTTGTCGAGATGCTCGAGTTGCCCGGGGTTTGGTTTTGAGTTGCGCACCTTTGGTCTTTGTTCGGGATGCCTTTCCGAGTTTGAGTTGTTATTTTTCTTGGCGTTCCAGTTGCCAACTTGCGTAGCTCATTTGGGTGTCAGGGGGATCAGCGATCAAGGTACGGCACCCTCGCAAAAAAGAAACATTGCTGAGAGAGGGGTGTTCTGCGGGAGGGGTGCGTGACTTCTGCTGCTCCAGTTTCTCCATTGTTGAGCTATGCTTGCGCCGAATTGCCAAATTGCAAAATGCTGCCAAGGTGAAAGCAGGCTGGGCGGGTTGTGAGACGGAGAAAAGTAGGCGATACCGCAACCATCTTGCAGAGTTCCCGCTGGACGGATGTTGGGAGATGCGAGGCATTTCGGATTTCGGACAGCCAGGCGGCGAGATATTTGCAAACTCTCGCGGCGAGATTGTTGTCCTTCACTGTTTCCAGCGGCGAGATTCTTGGCTGACAACACCAATCGCGGCGAGATACTCCAGGAGTAGCTCTCCGCCCAGCCCTGCCCTCGAGAACCAGAAATCTCTCCAACTTGGGCCTGGTGCCAACCCCCTCAAAGTGGAGAGCTACTCTGGGAGTAGCTCTCCGCGCCTATTTGTGGGGCCTTTCATGGGCTGATTTGGCCCAAGTCAAGATTGTGTTGGTTCCTGAAGCACTCAGTAAGACTCCACAAATAGGAGCGGAGAGCTACTCCCAGAGTAGCTCTCCACTTTGAGGGGGTTGGCGCCAGGCCCAAGTTGGAGAGATTTCTGGTTCTCGAGGGCAGGGCTGGGCGGAGAGCTACTCCTGGAGTATCTCGCCGCGATTGGTGTTGTCAGCCAAGAATCTCGCCGCTGGAAACAGTGAAGGACAACAATCTCGCCGCGAGAGTTTGCAAATATCTCGCCGCCTGGCTGTCCGAAATCCGAAATGCCTCGCATCTCCCAACATCCGTCCAGCGGGAACTCTGCAAGATGGTTGCGGTATCGCCTACTTTTCTCCCTCTCACAACCCGCCCAGCCTGCTTTCACCTTGGCAGCATTTTGCAATTTGGCAATTCGGCGCAAGCATAGCTCAACAATGGAGAAACTGGAGCAGCAGAAGTCACGCACCCCTCCCGCAGAACACCCCTCTCTTAGCAATGTTTCTTAAAAGTTCCCAAGCGGCGAAGTTCAGTTTTGGGCGGAAACACATGCAAGAAGCATGTCCTTAGTTGCAGCCCCCCCCTCCAGCAACTAAGGATTTGTTTGCTCCAACAAGTCCTTACTTGCTGCCCCCTGTCAGCAACAAGGGCCATCTGAGCAAGTGAGGAGTTGTCGGTCCCCACAAATCCTTCATTGCTGGTTCGGTCTTTGCGGCCCTCCCAAGTCCTTCATTGCTGGCCCGCTGTCAGAAATTAAGTGCCAAGAAGCCTTAGCGGTTGCCCCCCTCAGTTCAGGAGTTCATGGTCCCAATTTGTTCTGTCACTTTGTGGCTCACACATCCTGACTTTTTGCCCCTTGTCGCATTTGAGGAACATGAATTGCTAACCCCAAATCTGTTTGCTTGGCTCGACGCTTACTTGCTGGAACTCAGAAATTGCGACTGACCATAGTCTAGTGTGGGCTTGGGGAGGCGGGTTGAAGCCACATGAAATGAAGCTATCAAGGTGGTGGTGGCCAAATAGAACGAAGGCATTCGAAGCGTGCCGGTAAACTGGCTTCTATAGTTAAACGCAAATGAAGGTGACAAAGACAAGCGACTTTATGCAGCGAGGAGGATTGTGCGAAGGCAACAACAATCCTGTGCCCAACTGCCAGCCCAACATTGAAATTTGCAATGGCTGGCCGGCCAGCTCCTTCATTGCTAAAATTGAATTGGGTGAAAAAACATGCCAGTGCTGACGCCATGTACCTTTTTTTGTAGCCACTGCAGCCAACAGCCTGGACCAACATAGCAAGTTCGCCCCAGAGAAGTTAATAAGTACGCCCGGCTATTTTCACCTATAAGTCTGCCGTAAACTCGCCATGCGCATGGCGAGCTTACTATCCACACAGCATAGCGAGAGCTACATAGCACGTGCTGCCGCCTTAGTTGGCGAAGTTCCGCCAGCTTGTAACTGAGCTGAGAGGAGTTCTAACCTCAGTTGACTTGCGTGCTAAAATGCCACCTACATAACAACACTACCGAGCATCCAAATACGAACAGCTCCATGCCGGTGCAGTTCGGCTTCGGAGCGATTGAGGGTGCGGACAGGGCCGGGTGGGATTTGGTCTCTGAGCGTTGCCGGGCGGTGGCCGATAGGATTGCTTCCGGCATAGGAGCGTTTGAGGGTGTGTGCTGCTGGGATTTGGTTTCGGAGCGTTGCCGGGCAGTGGCCGTGCCAGTGCTTCCGGCATGGGGGCGCTCGAGGGCGCGGACGGCCGTGTCGGTGCGATTCGGTTTCGGAGCGTTACCCGGCGGTGGGCGTGCCAGGGTTGTGCTTACGGAGTGCTGCCGACGGCCGTGCAGGTGAGAATATGCTTTCTGAAAATTAGGCGGTGGCTGTGCCGGCGGGATTGCGCTGCCGGCATGGGAGCGTTTGAGGGTACGGACGGGGCCGTGCCAGTGGCATTTGGTTTTGGAGCCGGGCAGTGGAGGGTGCCAGTGGCATTGTGCTGCCGAATGGGTGCGTTCGAGGGCGCGGACGGGCTGTGCCGATGGGATTTGGGCGGCGGCCGTGACAGTGGGGTTGTGCTTCTGGGCAGTGGCCGTTCCGGCGGGGTTGTGCTTCCGGCATGGGGGCGTTCGAGGGTGCGGACGGCCGTGCTGGTGCGATTCGGTTTCGGAGCGTTGCCCGGCAATGGGGCGTGCCGGGGTTGTGCCTCCAGAGTGCTACCAGCAGCGGCGTGCCGTTGCCGGTGGGATTGCGTTGCCGGCGTGGGAGCGTTTGAGGGTATGGACGGGGCCGTGCCAGTGGCATTTGGTTTTGGAGCCGGGCAGTGGAGGTGCCAGTGGCATTGTGCTGCCAAATGGCTGCGCTCGAGGGTGCGGACGGGGCTGTTCTGGTGGGATTTGTTGCCGGGCGGCGGGGTTGTGCTTATGCCATGGGTGCGCTCGAGGGTGCGGGCGTAGCCGCGCTGGTTGCCAGGTGGCGGCTGTGCGGGTGAGCTTGTGCGCCGGTGGAATTTGGTTTCCGAGTGTTGCCTGGAGGTGGCCGTGCCGCTGAGTGCCAAATTTGTCCCTGTGTTGGGGGGGGGGGGTTGAACATGACGAGCCTCACCCCTCCTAGCATTCCGTTGACCCGTTGACCCTCTCCATTCGCGTGCGTCATCGGCGCTTTGAACTCGTTGGCCTCCTCCGTGCACGTGCGTCTTGACGCTTTGAACCCAAACGCTTGTGTGCTTGTGAATTTGGACCCCTCGAATTTGCGTTTTTTTTTCCCCGTTTTTTTTTTTTTGCGGGGGGGGGGGGGGGCTCCAAAAATGACTGAAGTCTTCGAGCGGCAATGGCACTAGTAGTGGTTGGGGCGCTGCCGGGATGGGAGCGTGACGTGGGCGCGGCCCTGTGCAAGTAAGGTTTGGTTTCTGAGCTTTCTGTTCATCAGCTCCGTTCGCACACGTCCCTGAATTGAACCCAAGCGGTCAGACCAGTCACAGGGCGAAGCGGTGCCAAGAGCCACTCAGCGTCGAACAATTGGCAATGCCGCGGCTGCCGAGTGATAAACCAGGATATGGAATCCCTGACATGAGTGCTTTGATATAGATTTCTCCTTGCTGTGGCCTCGATCGGTTTCACATACTGCCTAGACGCGCCAACCGCGCACAAGGGACACCCTTCTCAAACAAGCCGCATCAGACGTCGCTGCTGGCAACGGGCGCCAGCAAAACGCATCATTTCGCCCCAGATCGCATCATTTTCTTGACAAAAGCTCATCGCTCTCAACAAGCGGTAGGCGCAGGACTGCCGCCCCTCGCATTTTCCCCCCATCGCAGTACTGTCCTCCGTGCCGTTCCCTGGCCTTCCCTTTCCCTCTCCCTTCGCTTGCCCTGCTCAAATGCTAAAAACACCCGCTCACGCGCGCCCGCCTGTTTAGCACTGCACACACAGCCAACTGGTAAGAACACGCGCGCCCGCTCAGCGCTGCACTCATGCCTGTAAGCGCGCCCGCTCCTGCCTGCCAAATGGTAAGAACACCCGCCAACGCACGCCCGAAATCTCGTTTTCTGCGGCTGCCTTGGCGCTGATTATTTTTTTTGTGGAGCCATATAAGGGTAGCCACCCGAGCCAAATCTGAGGGGCTTGCTTTTCGGGCTTAGCTCCCAGCTAAAAATTCTGACTTTTCTAGCTAGCAGGACCTTCGCCAAATCTTTAGCTGAAGTCATCGCAAGCCCGGTAGCTATTTTTTTTATTGCTCCACGCAAAGAAGTTGTTGGACCTCGTTGCTGGGGAAAGTGGACGACCATTTCCAGAGTTGGTGACACGTTTGTCGCTCGCAACGACTGCCTTGAAATTTGGAGAAACCCACTCCGGGTGGGTGGGAAAGCCAACGCAAAACTTCCTCAATGTATTTGTTGTAGCCTCTAAACCCAAAACCCTAAACCCGATTTGTGCATATTTCCTCAAATCTGGCCCTTGACAGGCTCTTCAAGGACATACCCTGAACCAGCCTAAACATACCGAACGTGCTCCAAATCCAACCTAAACTCACACGCTACACCACCTTATCCTCACCCAACAGCACCCACAAAGCCAACCCTAAATCCACATATGCGCCAGAATCCTAGTTAAAGTGCCACACTTTGAAAAAACAAAAACAGTGATTCTCTTTGAGAAGGTAGAGGGGGGGTAGGGGGGGGGAAGGGAGGGGAGGGAGGGGGGGACAGCTTTAATAGGCCCGCACTTTC